TAAGTGGTTTACTATAGTTTCATTGTCGATACAGCTATTCTTTCCTCCCAAAAATTTGCTAAAACAGAACTAACATTGACGAATTATTTGGTCGTGAGACTTACTGGGGGTAATGTTCTAGCTGCGATGAGGGATACAATTTAAAAGAGAAAATTAATTTAAAAATAATGCGTGCTCCGGAAACATACACCGATAAATCTCTGATCAAGACACGCTGATACGAGCGTCAATGTATCATTAGTCAAGAGCTAAAGAACCGTAACTAACAATTTCGGAAAAATTTCGAGTTTTCTGCATCTGCATTCCTGATTTTCTTAGTTAAAGGTATGTATGTGTAAATATTTTGTCATGATATATATAACACCAGGCTCAAGACGAACGGTTTTTTAATTGGACCACATTGTGCAATAAGGAACCCCTATTTCTGGCTCATTTTAGAAACAACATATGTGCCACTGGTTCCCCTATGCAAAAAGGTGCTTTTATGGAAGAGCCAGAGATAGTGGTTCCTTTTTGCAAAAAGTAATCCAATTGTAACATACCTTGCAGGCAAAAGAGCTGCTCTATGGCTATCCCCTAATTTTTCGAATCAATTTAAATCTAGTGAAGTACAATTCTACGTATTAATTGCTTTTACAGCGCACAGGGACGCTCTGCGACGCCGAAGTGCCATGGGAATCTGCCAATCTTTCGGCAGCTGACATCTCTCAATTAGTGTCTTGCTGGATGCCTTCAATCCACATTTTAGGCAGACGCCTTCAATTTAGGACACCAAACCTTTTAGCTTTTAGTTACAGTTCTTTGGCCCTTGCATTTTTAATTCGGAATGTATTACACTCTTAGAATTAATTTCGTATAATGTGGGACTGTATAAATATAAATTAGCAGGTAATATCTAAACGCCAGTGGCAAACTCTTTCGGAGAGCCGAAGATTTACCGGAAACATCTCCGAAAGTTTCGTATCACATTACTCATCGTGTATGAGGAAACATGGCCATCCAAATTAGGAGGGGGCGAAACGTAAAGGAAGAGAGGGGGAAGATTCAAAAGGATGAATGAATAAAATTTGATCTCTCGATCTGAGTGCGCACGATTTCATACAGCGACAGCTAAACTGCCCTGATGAGGGTATTATAGAATTTTCCGTCTAAGAGACTAGTCCTGTAAAGTCGAGAAGTTTAAACAAGAGGGCTGGCTCTCTAATACCGACGTCATTCATACTTGCTTTTCCTGTCTCAGCCCCATTGTTCAAAATTAAGATATCCAGCAATTATGTTTAAGTTTTGTAACCCTAAGAGTAAACTTTCAGAGGACCCCGGAACTTGCGCAGCGGCAGCCCTAGATATTCTCACTCGCGGCTGCCAGTTGGTGCCAAAAGTTTACATTTTTCATAGAAATTCTATTTGCATTGACTACAGGGCCGGATTTACCCACTTGCCGCCCATGGGCTGCCTGTATTTTGCCGCCCCCTTCTCATTCGTTTTGAAACATCAATAAAAACCATCAAGTGAACGTGCCGGAGGGGAGGGGTGCATAAGACGCGTTTACCTACACGTGTTGGATACATTTTTTTGCGAAAGCCCTGTCAACATTACTAGCAAAATTTCACGGAACTTGACGCGAAAGTTATGTCCCGTAAACCTATCTCTGTGCGGACAAGATCCTCCACTTATAAGAAATGAACCGAAAAATTATGAAAGAACGAACATAAATGTGGTTTAATAATTTTAACTTCCGCCGCTGCGCCGCGCTGATCGCACTGTGTTTGGCGCAATGCGTGAAGTATTCCTGCAGTCTTGAAGGCGCTATGCGTTTCACGCCAACCGCTCCTGACCGCATGACCGCACTGTGTTTGGCGCAATTGGTGAAGTATTCATGCAGTCTTGTAGGCGCTAATATGTGTTACATGCTGACCGCCGCGCCGAGGGCTTGTCCTCTTCATCTCAAGTCCTCGTCATCATTCCTCTCTGCACTGAGCTCCAGGCAAAATTGCGTGTTTAGTTCCTCTCTTAACTCGACTAATTAAAGATGCTGTCTCTTGTATCACCGAAAAACTACAAAATTAGAAATTACTATACTCTCAGGAAAAAGAGATTTTGTTTCCTTTTCTTATTGATAATTTTTTATTCTGAATCCAATTTTGTTTATACCTACATTTAAAAAAATTGCAAAATTTGCCGCCATGGGCCGCGGCCCATGTGGCCACCCCCTTAATCCGGCCCTGATTGACTATGAAGTCGAAGATATTTGCAAATCATCTACAATCAGCTCAGGTGGAGATGTAAATCAGAATGCCGAAATGAAACTCCGCATATATCGATGGCCAAAGTGGAAAACCACGTATCTATCTACGCGAAGTTGCAGGTGTCCTGCCATACTTCATATTTTCTCCTAAAAACTAATCAATGTAATCTCGAAAACTTCCTTGATCTATCCTCTTGGTTAGCAGAATATTCTGTATGGATTACAAAGTTTAATTTACTCCGAAAAAATGAAATGGGATCGGAAATTTTAAAAAACCGCATCGGAGATACGTGGTTTGCACATTGGCCATCGATAAACTTATGGATGGTACCCCATAGGTTTCTTTTCTGTACTTCGACATCCCTATACCACGCTTCGTCATAATTTCTATTCCTACACCAGTCCGTGCCGGATTGCCAATGTATTAACTTAAATCAATAAAATTAAGAAGAAGTATTATTTGAAAGTCTCTCTTGAAATTTTGGGATGGGGTCTCAACATGGGATACGGCTTTGGGGTGCTCTGTGATTAATGATATTTAAATGCCTGAAATGAATCTTAATACCTATATTGATTCTGCAAATATGTTTTGTGTCATACTATCAGATGAGTATTTGTCCTCGCCGTAGTGTGTGCCCTAGCTGCCAACACTTTTTTATCTGTCGTAAGCTCCAAAGCATTTTTCCATTTCAGACGCAGATGTCTCCGTGCTTATTGTTCATATTCCTTCGAGACCACCTTCTTGCCAGCACACTGCTCGTATAAATAATTTACTCCGACATTTCTACTCCTTTCTGCAGACCAGAAAAATTGAATTAACTTCGCAGATGGAAGGCCTGTTTATACAACATGCCACTTCATTTTTTCCTCGGTTTTTTTGACCTCAATCCGAGCTTAACCCTTCCGCATTCTTTGTGTCAACTTCCCTCAAAGCCTTCTTATATCTTGTTTCTTCGAGTTCACTTTATTTCAGTTCCTTGATTCGGTTTAAAAATTAATTCAAACCTACGAACTTATCCTGGGGGTCGGAATTCTAAAAAAATGTCAACTCTAGTAAATTGACGTTTGGATAAAAGGGATTGGCGCGTGTGATTAAAACCTTTTTTAATCAAATTGACGTTTGAAAAGGGCAAAAATTTACCATAATTGAAAGTGCATTGCAATTTGAAAATGATAATTTTATGCACTGAGAGTACAAATTATATGAATAATTACTTCTACACTGTCCATCATTGGGATGCTTGAATGGGAGGTTGGATTGCTGGGGGACGATAGGATGGCAAATTCTCTTCGAACAACTATTATGTTGGTAAAAAGGTTGAAAGAGGATTCGAGGGCAAGACCAACAATAAAACTGCGTATTATATTTTGCAACGTTGCAGATTTGTTGTCACATTTAACTTTCTTTTAATTTGAGTGATCAATGTCATCGCATAAGATTTTGTGTGACTGAAAGAATATTTTCGGAAAATGTCTTTAGAAATATTTCCAATGATGGCCATTTGAAAAATGAAGTACGAAGAAGAAATGGGGGTGGGGGGTTGGAGGACAATGCACCTAAGTGCAGATTTTGCTATCTCGAGAAATACGTATTTGAAGTTTCGAAATTATATAGATCCTTATGGCGAAAAGAAAGATCAAACTGACTTTTTTATGCCGAACAATTGGATTTAGGGAGCGAGTTTTTCTTAGATTATGCACTATAACTAGTTTTATTTGAGATCATTAATACCTCAATTTTTTTTAAAAAAATGTACCTTGTCCTCCAAGCCCATCAAATGTTGAAATACCTCAATCAAAACACGATTTTTCGTACAATGGGCCTGTTGCAAACTTTTGCTAGAGCAAAAATAAGAGTTGTTTCTTATAGATAATGCCTCAAAAATCACGATGAGCGCATCGGCAAAGTCTGAAATGCACTCACAACTTCACAGTCTGCGTAAGAAATTTGCGGTTTTTTGAGCTTCCCGGCTTCAAAAGCGATACTACGGCACAGGTGAACATTTTGTAAGAGGAGTCGTTCCATCGTCGGCAATTCTCATCATGGCCGACGCCAATCCGCCAAAACACGTGTGATGGGACGAGGTAATACCTGAACTGGATTAGACCAGATAACAATCGGCGTGTTTTAACGTTCATGTTTTCCACGCCCGAATTGATTGACCTTGAACTCTCCTCGAATTACGCGCGGAACTGCGCGCAAGTGTCGGCCATGATGAATATCGCCGACGATGGAGCGACTCCTCTAACAAAATGTTCACCTGTGCCGTAGTATCGTTTTTGAAGCGGGAAGCTTAAAAAAACGCAAATTTCTTACGCAGATTGTGAAGTTATGAGTGCATTTCAGACTTTGCCGATGCGCTCATCGTGATTTATGAGGCATTATCTATAAGAAACAACTCATATTTTTGCTCTAGCAAAAGTTTGCAACAGGCCCATTGGCGTTCGCGACCGAGCGAAGTTACGTCAGCGCAAAAATGGCGTTTTTACTCCGGTGTTTGGTGTGGAGACTTTTGAGCATTAATCGTCATTTTTGCTTACCTCGTAAAGGAAGAACGTAATACCCTGTTTTATGTTTTTAACACATTACGTTCTATTATATAGAGATTGTGTATATTTCTGTTTAAGAAGATCACATTTAATAAACTCTTTTATTGAAAAAAAAAATCGTCGTTTTAATCAACTTAAGTCGGTTTATAATTACAAACTGTTTTCATGTTAAGAATCTTGATTGTTTGAATTTCCTCTGTTGCAGGCGCAAGATCTTCAAGCCCGAGATTTCAGCGGGACGGCAGATCCGTACGCAAAAATAAGACTGCTGCCCGACAAGGGGAATGTCTGGCAAACAAGAATCCATCGGAAAACATTAAATCCATGTAAGACCTCTATTCCTTGCATTTCCGATCCAAAATAAATTCAATTTAAATATGATAGCTTGCATTTATTGATTCTGTACCTAATTCTTTCCGCGCATGGAATTTATCTCAATTCTTCAAATTTAGCACAGTGTGTACATTGATTTTTGAAAATTTCTTGAGAGGTATTGATTCACATCATTAACAAGTCTTTCATAATGCCGACTTTTCAAAAATGGGCATTAGTCATTCGAATGTTTTCATTCAATTTATTTTTAAAAATATGATAATTCTCATAAAGTTAACGATAAATGCATGCAGTCAAATTATTTGCATGAAAAATGTGCTACGATTCACTCATGTGCCATTTTTGATCTTTTACTTCTACGAATGCTACCTCTAGTTTTTATCTAGTTGTCGTCTAATTTGTATTTTAGCTATGGAAAGTCTGAGAGAAATTTTAAAGATTTTCATAGTTTTACGTTTGTTATAATCCATTCCTCCCCATGCCTTTTTGCATTGATTGAATCATTTGCACAAAGGCGGGAGTTCACTATATATCGTTTCAAAATTTCCAATGATTGTTTATTTTCGTATGAATGAACAACCGAGCGAATTTCCCGGGGAAAAAGCACGATATTCGTTCATGTGTGCAATCAAAATTAATCTTTCCAGGCACATTCTCTCGAAAATCCATCCATACAAAAATGGACTGCACATTTGCAACAAGTTTGAAACGCTCCGATGGACTTCCTATGCAAAAAATCGATTCGACTCGGTGCACAACATATTCACAACGTAAGCTACCATTCCCTGAAGTTTGCTGACCACGTGTTTCATTCAAACGATCTTTACATCTGACCTACATCTTTCTTACCTTCATCTCGCGGATATTCATTCCGAGATCAAACCGTCTGATAAATAATATTACTGCGGTGTAGCTCGAGGGTGAGCCCTATTCGGCGGGATATTTGTGAGCAGGAAAATTTGAAAGTCACGCGGTTTGCATGTTAATGAACCGAAGGGGCTGGTTGCGGCGGTGGCGGCACTATCAGCGGAATGATGAGACACTTAGCGGCGCTTTGAATCATGAGAGAATTGCTGACAGTGAGCACGGCACGGGTGGAAATACGTAACTCCTCTGACGAAAGGGCGTAATTTCATTTCCACTTGAGCCCCAGAGAGCATAAGAGTATGCCGGAAATAGGGCTCATCTCGAGGGGTAGGTACGCCCTTTTGTCAGAGGAGCGGCCGGGCGGCGAATAGAGGCTGCGCGGCTTCAAGGGGCGTTGTTATTATTGCTGATGAGAGGCATCACTTTTGACTCTATCTGTGCCCCCTCAAGTATCGAGCGTTGTCTCAAAATAACTCCCCTAATGAATGCAAAAGTTTCCTCATTTACACCGCGTCTTGTTCTGTAATGCGGAATCAGTTTATACGGCCTATATGAATTTAAAATTCAAATCGAGGTGACTCTGAGAGTTGTGTCAAATTTGCGTAATCTTGTTTGAGTTCCTACTAAACATGTACTCAAATTTCATGGAATAAAGTTGTCGTATTTCGTAAAGTATTTCGGTTGACCGAATGAGGCTAAATTATGGTTGAGAGTGTATACTTATTCCTTTAAAAAACTTTATAAAATGACTTATTAAACATTTTTGTGTAAGAAACACATCATTAAATACAGGGTGTCTCATGAAAAAGGAGCCACCTTGAATATCTTCCGAACGCGTTGGAATTTCGAAAAACGGTAAAAGACGTGTTCGTTTATATCGAATGGGACACCTTTTGGCGTATTTTACATTTTCTCAAACCGCGGGAGGGACGTAGGGCGGGGGGTGCCCCACCCGTAAGTCGAACTTTTCAAATGGCACCCCTACTTTTTTATTTCAAAAATCAATTTCACGGAAAAAAACAAGTCACCCTGTCCAAACCGAATGTAAATCGGACAATTTTTCAGTGATTGGCAGAGGTTGAAACATTTTTTCATGCTCTTTTCAAAAATTCCCCAAGCCCAATGAAATTGCCGTATCAAACCAAACTCTCCGCCAAAAAAATTCTTAAACATTGCACTATCGAAAAAAAAAGAAAAAAAAAAATCCAATGCGTTCGGCAGATATTCAAGGTGGCTCCTTTTTCGTGAGACATCCTGTATATTGTGCCCTCCAGTGAGCACAGATAAGAATTCATGCAAAGGAAGTCTCGCTGCGGTGCAAGTAAAAAGAGACAGGCCTCTTTAAAATGAATGCGTTCATAGTATCTCTTCTTTTCATTGGGTCGTATATTCTTCTCCTCGTACAATGCATCTCTGTGAAGTATCACAGCTGCTGAGCAATACAGTAAAAACGGTCTGAGTCACAGAAACTCCTCGGGTTCAAAAGCGCAAAACCGGAAGTGCAACTTACAGAGGTTAAGGCGATCTATTCTCATTTTCCAGGAAATGCACCGTAATTGAGTTGTGTTCAGAACGGACGGAGCCACTCTTATGGCGAATTTGTTAAATTCCTTCGTGCCGGAAGGACGCTGCACTGTGCATGTAAACAATATTTTTGTGTCGTTGTTGAGAGCACAAAGAGGAAAGCTCATTCTGGCGGTGAAACTGTATGACGGGGTATTATTCTATTGCGGTGTTTCAAAATTTCTCTCCGCACATCGTTTCAACCGTAGAAACAAACCAGTGCTCCAATGATGCACAAGGGTTATAGGACATTTTGTCAACGATTTTTTGTCCGCGCACCTGTTTTTTCCAGAAATTTACGTCCACGCGTTTTTTCGGCACGGGAGTTTTGGTCCACGTGCCAGTTGAGACCCAAAGTTAATTGGCCCACATGTAAATACAAACGACAATTGCTCACGACGTTTTTGGATGAGAATGTAGTCTTGGAAGAATGAGGGTTTGCTTGTTTTTTTGTTTTGTCTGTTTGGTCCAACGGAGAATAATATATAGTTAAGAGTTTTGGTAAAAATGGGGGAGCGTCAATTCCATGAGACAAAATTCACTAAAACTCTCTACACCTCTTTGGTGTAACAGGACTTAATTATCTTTCAAGAAATTCCCACCTTGCTATACCTGAACGGAGCCAGTACGATACGCGCATTGACGCCTACAAACCTAAGTGGATACTTCAAGCATTGTGCAATGCGTGATGTATCCACTTAGGTTTGTAGGAGCCGGTGAGCCTCTCGCGCTGGCAGCACGCCGCCGCGGGCCGCTCCGCTCTGTTAGGCTTTAATATTTATACTCGCATAGTCAGCGTTTTTTAACTCATGATTATTAAATGTTTGCACACTCTGCATTGATTATTCTCATATAAATTGATGGGGGAAAAATATGTATCAATTTATCAAAGGAGAATCCTATATATTAAAATGCAAAGTTCCAAATCTTGGGGCATTAACTTTGAGAGAACCACCGGACCGATTTGCGTGATCTTTTTTTTAAATGAAAGCCCCTGAGCTGTAGATTTGCAGGCTGTGATCGTTTTTTCGATTATCTCAAATTTTTCCCCATAATTTTCTCAAATTTTCTTCGATGCATTAAAACGGAGGTCCGAATCTTTGGACGTTAACTTTGAGAGAACCACTGGACCGATTTGCATGATTTTTGTTTTAAATGAAAGCCTATGATCTGTAGATTTGCAGGCTGTGATCGTTTTTTCGATTTTCTCAAATTGTCTTACTTTTATCGACGAGTGAAGTTTAGCCGGGCTCAAATTTTCTCCCATTTATTCAGACTAAAGTCCGTATGTTGGGACATTAACTTTGAGAGAACCACCGGACCGATTTGCATGGGGTTTTTTTCTAAATGAAAGCTTCTGATCTGTAGATTTGCAGGCTGTAATTGTTTTTTCGATTTTCTCAAATTTTCTTACTTTTATCGACGAGTAAAGTTCAGCTGTTTCGAGCAGTCATCTGGCCGCTACCTGCTTGCCCGTCCCTAGATACCCCCTCTAGGGTCTCAGCCACCCCTCCCACCACGTTCTTTCGGCTATCTCCGTTTTCTTTCGTATAGCTTTCCTCCCACCAACCTCAAAGAAGGTTTGGGTCGCATTGTCGTTCGTCACTCACCACCCACATTCCGTCGCAATCTCTCGGCTACTCCGCTTCACCACTTCTTGATAGGCATCCTGGCGGTTTGACTGACCCTGACTTACTAACTGCAGCGTTGCGCACACGTATTGCTAACAACATGTATTGTTATGGACATTTCATTCTTATTTGTTCTTTTCTCTTGACAACTTTGTTTCAAATTTGCTTGATACTTCGTTTCTTCCTCTCTCTTTATTTTGTTGGTCGGTCGACTACGTTGATCGGCTTTTTGCTATTGAAAACACATTAAGACTTCATGGAATTTCAATATCATCATTATTGATCTTCCGGAATTGCTTCCAATCAACCTGAATCTTCAAGGGTCGAAGCCTGACTCTCCTCCCCCTAAAACTATGATTCCATGATTTTTGCCGTTAACCCAGAGCAACATCAAATTATTTCTGAAATAATTAATCTCATCCAAAATCCATCTTACACGTGTAATGCGATTTTCATTGATGGTCCAGGAGGATCGGGAAAAACTTTCGTTTAAGAATGTCTTACTGCGTATTGTACAGAGGAAAACTTAGACGTCATCTCCGTTGCTTGGACAGGTATCGCCGCATCGTTGCTACCTAACGGTCGGCCGGTTCATAGCAAATTCAAAATTCCTTCGGTTCTGAATGAGAATGCTGTGTCGAGTCTGACGGTTAGCTCAAGAGAGGCTGAGACTATTCGAAAAACAACGATCATTTTTTGGGGTGAAGCTCCCATGGTTATCACGCATGCTCTGGCATGCATCGACCGACTTCTTAGAGAATGGGTAATGATATCCCTTTTCGAGGAAAAATTGTCGTCTAGGGTGGTGATTTTAGACAGGTTTTACCCGTTGTTCCGCATGCTTCTCACCAAACATTGGTGCAAAATGCAATCAAATTCTCACCTTTTTGACCTCTTTTCAAAATCAGAAAACTTACTCAAAATATGAGAACTTTGCAAGACGAAGCGGAGTTTGCAAAATTTTAACTCGAAATAGGTGATGGTGTTTACCTTTCTGCTAAAAAAGGCCATGCCGGAATTCATTGATTTACCGACAAGCAGTATTACTGAAAGGAATTGATATTATTACTGAAATTTATGGAAAATATAGCTTCCTCATGTTCGAACGTAGATTTCACAAACTGCGCAATTCTGGCCCCTAAAAATAAGCATTGCAATGAAATTAACGACAAGGTTGTTGAAGTTCTTTCAGGTGTCTCTAAAACGTACTTCAGTGTTAACAGGCTCATTGTAGAGGAAGAGGGAGAGGCTCTCAATTTTCCCCTCGAATTCTTGGACAGTCTTAATCTTAGTGGCTTACCACCGCATAAACTCACACTTTTGGAGGGGGTTTTTGTCATGCTTTTAAGAATTCTCAACGTTTCCAAAGGTTCATCGAATGGTGCCCGATTGATCGTCTGGAAACGTTATGAAAATTGTCTTGATTTGCAGGTCATTTCCGGCGAGAAGGCCGGTGAAAGAATTTCACTGCCAAGAATTGATTTGTCACCTGCAGACTCCTCTCTCCCTTTCTCTTTTAAGAGGCGACAATTTCCATTTCGCATTGCGTTCTGCATGACCATCATCAAAGCTAAGGGTCAAACACTGAAGCGAGTCAGCATTTATTTACCCCAAACAGTTTTTGGCCATGGTCAACTATATGTTGCACTCTCACGAGCTACATCGTACAAAAATTTTGAAGTCCAAATTCTTCCCAAAGGCAACCGTACGAAAAACATCGTGCACAAAGAGGTGCTTCGATCTTTTATAAATCCCAAAAGTCTCATAGTCATTAGAAAATTATCAAAAAATAAAAATAAAAAATAATTAAAAAATAACACAAAAAAAGGAAAACTAATAATGCGAGCTTTTTATAACATTTTTCGGTAGAATGGCAGTGTCCACCCTGTAACGCAGAGAGGCAGTTAAATTCCTTGATCTTTTGCCGCAGAATCATCATCATTATTAAATAGATTCAACTAATCGCTCCCATTCCAAATAAGCTACCGCACCACTATTGCTAGCTGTGAAGGGCGCCCGTAGGGCGCCTGGAGCAGCTAGTAATAGTATAATATGATTGTGTTTTTTATATATCGGTGGTTTATCAGAGCAATTTTTACAATACATTTTCCGGCATTTTTTTAAAGGAAGAAATTAATCAAAACGTATGAAATTATGATCTATTTTAGTATCCAAAATAGTAAATAGGAAATCAATCAGCATTTTTCATCGAGGCAAGTGTTTAATTACAGTTGTGGTATGGTTTCACGAGTTGGAGAAATGGAAAATGTATTTGCACAATTTTTGTAAAATTGTTGAGCTTCCACCGTTGAGATCATCTGGAACTCGTTATTTTCTGTCCCGCCTTGAAATTTTATGCAGAACGCAACTCACAATTTGGGAAATTAAATTTTACTCGCGCAGAACATCGCTCGTGCATGACAGTCTTTTGGAGCTTTTCGTTTTTCACAGCGTGTCACATGAATTTTGATGTTTCAGTTCCAACAATTTCTGTAAGATATTTTCACAAGCTTCATTTTATCTTTGTGTTTTCATTTATAAATCATTTGTAAGAATAAAAGTTATCTTTGACATTATAAGACACGAAAGCTGCATTTGTTTCTAAATTTAACTGATTGAATACTTATTTTTCTTGTTTCAGTTTTTGATGAAGACTTTGTGTTCGACGTGAAACCTACGACCATTGCACGGAGGACTCTAGAAATAATTATCTATGACTTTGATGCCTATTCTAGGCATTTAGCCATCGGTGGAATGAAGATACCTTTAGCTCAAATAGATCTAGCGGAAAAAATTGACTTTTGGAAAAAACTCACGCCGTGCGCTGAGCCAGATGCAAAGGTATCAAATTCACCAAATTGATGGTTTTTAGTCTTATTCTTCATTTTTCCTTTTGCTTAAAACTTGTTAGTTCTCTTCACACTGAAGGTGTTTTTAAATGGAGTGAACATGCAACTCGCTTGGGATCGTATTCTAGTTGTCAAATCTCGAAGATTCTTCCGAAACCCATGAGTATCTACGTCCAATCGAAACGGATAAACCTTCTCTTAGAAGAAAAAGGAAATGCGCCATCTATCAGGCCTAGACAAAGAAGGAAATACGTCATCTATCAGGCCATCAAGGTTGGTTTTCCTTTACCGCAGCATGAACGGATAAAGACACTTCGAACAGAAATGGTAGAGGGGGAGTCTGAGGGGCTTCCTAATACAGAAAATGTTCGAAACTTTAAAGCATCTATCGTGCAGTCCGAGTCAATTTTGCCATGAATAATTACCAAATAAAGTGTCCTTCCTTCATTTTTTCGTCGTTCCTTTCCTCCTCCTTCTTTCCATTTTCCTTTTTCCCCCCCTATTCTCGGGCAAAAAGGGGGCGCGGGGGAGCGCACACCCCCTACGCCCCCCATCTAGATCCGCTTATGTTACCGCGGTAAATGATTTCAATCACCATATTTTACCTTTGTAATCCGGGTACGCAGAAACTTCATTTTTCGAGAGATATTGTTATTTGGACTACATTTGCAATGAGGAACCACAGTTTTAGAACTCATCCATAGAAGCACCTATCTGCGTAAGGAAACAAATAACGCATGCGTCGTTTCTAAAATGAGCCATAAATAGTATCTCCATGTGAAGAATGAAGTCATTCAATCAATCTAGTCTATAGGTGCGTTTTAAACATCAATACATGATGTTATGATCAGCTGGCCCCGGGCCATAGGTACACGGAGAAAAAAAACTCGTGCGTGGGACCCGAAGTTTAGGTCATATGGATCTCTGAAGTTTTCAGATTGAGCATCTGAACACTTTAAGTCTAGCTGCCGAGGTTCGGATCATACATCTGAAACTTCAGTTCTTACATCTGAAGTACGTCGGATGTGAGAACCGAAGTACTTCAGATGTAAGAACTGAAGTTTTAGATGTGTGATCCGAATCTCGGAAGCTAGACCTACAGTGTTCAGATGCTCAATCTGAAAACTTCAGAGATCCATATGACCTAAACTTTGGGCCCCACGCACGAGTTTTTTTTCTCCGTGTATAATAAAAAAATTGAATACATCCAGATACGCAAGAGGACAAAATTATATGCAAAATTAAAATCCGAGTTTCAACAATTTCGAGGGAGAGATAATTTCTGGATCCCTTCGTTTATTAAAAATTCGAAGGGTAAAAAGCTTCTGCACTGGAGTGATTTCAGACCTTGAAGTTCCTCCAACTCCATTAATCTCAATCTCTTGAGAGTCTGATGCGAGATGAAGTCGATGAATTAATCATTGTTGGGATCTCTTCTGAGTTCTGCACGGTTGGAAGGACACCTCTTAAGGTACCTGTCCGTTTCTTTCCCCCGAAAGGAACTCAATTTATACAGTGCTGAACTGCTGAATGTACCACTCTCCAACTATATTTGAAAAATGTGGGATTTCTTACTCTTAAAGCTTTTTCCTTTCCCAATAATTTTCCTTGGTCAATTGAGGGACTTGGAGGACACAGCGCATATGAGGACTTAGCTGTAACAATAGCGTATGTGAAAAATTACCTTTTCGAAACACGCGCTTAAAAACTGTTTTGTTCACACTAAAATATTATTTATTATTTATTATTAATTTAATATGTTTGGCTCTGGCATAATGTACAGATCCGAAGATTGTGATCTCAAGTATTTTCTCAAAATTTTCTCGATGCCAAAACAGTTTTTTTGAATGTGTTTCGCAAAGGTAATTTTTCACATACGCTATTGTTACAGATAAGTCCTCATATACGCGCAGTCGTTGCTATTTCGAGACAAACGCGTTTGAAGTTTCGAAATTGCACGGATCCTTGTGGTGGAGAGAAAGTTCAAATCGACTTCTTGATGCTTAAGAATTAGAATTCAACAGCGATTTTTTCATAGAATATGCATTAAGAGTAGATTTACTCGAAATCATTAGTTTCTCAATTTTTTTCAAAAACTACGCTTATGCTCCTTTTCCTCAAAGCCCCTAAATTGTATTACAGTTGTGAGAGGAGGGAAAGGAGTTCCTTGATCCGTAATCTGCCTCAAATGAGTGTTGCTGCTGGTTCTTGTCTCGGGCGAAAGAACGTAACTTCATTCCAGGGTTGTCAAATTGACTCCAACAATTCATTTTTTTACAAAAAAGTACCAATGCGATTTTTGTCCAAAATTTTTCTTATTTTTGCACGAATAATAGGGAAAATAATCAGTGAAATTTCCAGTTAAAAATGCCAAAGATTCTCCTGGTAAAAATGCAATCTCCGAGGAAAAATTTGGCAAAATTGAAAAGTATTTACGTTCTTTCGTGGGGAGGACGACGATTTGCCTGACTTAATGAGAGAGTGGTATGCATTTTGATCGCACTCTATCTCGTAATAACTTTCGATAGGTGTGCAGAAAATTCTCGATCATGCACCCGTGTGTGGGCTCGAAAAAATGTGGCAGGAGGGGCAATTTTAAGGGATGAAAAGTCGAAAATCAAAAGAAAACAAGAAAAAAAGGCCCTCCATTTTGAAATATGTGAGCGAAGTTTTTGAAAAGCCGATGGAGAAAACCAGGAAAGCCGGCGGGTAGGCGCGTGAAAGCTTAAAAGATTCTGCTCCCCCCTTTTTTTAACCTCAACCGGACGCCATTTTGCACCAAGATCCATCTCTGATCCAGTCCTCGTTTCTGATTGGTTCAAAAAGTAGTCAACTCTCCTCAATGTTCAATTTCTCGATACAGAGTCAAATACTTTATCGGAAATATCCCTCCATAGTCTCACAAAACATGTAGATTATTTTGCGCTCCGTGTCAAGAGAGCAACTACGGTTCCATTGTTGCCAGAGTGATTGAGTATAATCGACTTCCACCGAGTCTAACGTGAGAGCTCAAGATTTTCGGAGATGATATGGCGCTTGTCGACCACCCGCTGCCGTCGAGATCTTGCTCGCGCTTAGTTTTATTGCCTGCCCTCCATTTTTCGAACACAACGCAGCCCAAGATACATTACAATTTAATACTATGATCTTGCGTCCCCTCCCAGTTGCCAAACTTAAAAATTCGTTTCCGTGTCGAGATCATTGAAGTTGGCAGACAAAACGATAGACAAAGAAGGCAAAGAAAAAACGGAGCGGAAAATCGGTAGAACCAGCGGGCCAATTATTGAAATTGATGGACAAAGTTATAGACAAAGATGACAAGAGGGATATGGAGGGAACCTATTGTTGGAAGCTGGTGGTTGCAATGGACAAGGAGGGTTGGTAATAGACTAACTAACGGCAACCCACGAGAAACTCGACAGTCAGTCCATCATTTTCTCCCTTAGTCCATACGAACCACAAATTTCAACCAATAGAATCGCTCCATACCCATATGTCTATAGTTTTGTCTATCAATTTCAATAATCAGCTCGCAGGTGGTTGCTATGGATGGAGAAAGTGAGTAATAACTAGCAGCAACCCACGAGAGATACTATAGTCAGTTCATAACTTTCCTCTTAGTCTATAACAAGCACCCGCTTCAACCAACTGGCTATAGGATGGGGAAAAAAGTGTTAGGGGGTATCCTCTAAAATTGTGGTACCACCGCAATTTGTCGGAAGGAAATATCCAATTAATTTTAGTTGTACCACAACATTTGGGTTTGTACCCTACTTTATTGGGGTACTACCGCAATTAATTGGAAATGCCCAATTTATCAAACAGTTCGGACTTAATCCCTACCTCTTTTTTGCCGTGCGACAGGATCGCTCCATTTTCCTTTAGTCTGCAGACAAAAGGACGAAGCGATAGACAAAGCATGCTTTGTCTATCGCTTCGTCTATCAATTTCGACCATCGCCACGCCACTGGCGTTACATATACGTTCAATACACTGCCGTCTGAAGCAATGTGCATCGTTTGTTTACGAGCGCAGCGTTTCTGAGATTGACCTATTTCTTGGTGATCACATAATAAACAGCAGATCCATGATTGATTTCTTTGTCGAGCTCAGTTAATATCAAAGGATAAAACAGCGCTTAATCTTGCAACATTTCTCTTATTTTACAACGATACTGCGGGGGTGTGTGCGTGGATTTGCGGGTGTCTGTGTTTCTCTGTCAACAATTCATAATATTCCGCTCGGCTGAATGTGATGCTTTTTCAACACTCTCTTCTCGTTTCCTCTTCGGTTCTGCGGGGCGTCTGGTGCGCGGGAAGCGGAGCCAGACCGCGACGGCGGTGCCGCATAACCTGTAAAAAAAGTTACAATTTTTCACTTCGTATGGACTATTCCAAGGAAGAACGCCGTGGATAGTCTATATCTATTAATACGGGACTTAAAAGAGCAAACTCTAGACCGCAGCTTACAGGTATCATCGAACGGAGGCGGTGCTACGCATGACTGAACAGAAAAGGAAACTCAAAGTGCCTTCAATTTTTTGTACGCAACACGCACATCCATAGAGCACGAATAGTTGCATCAAGGGGTTTTAACCGACGCGACGCACAGTGGATCGAATCAATAGGAGGAGTTGGACATGAATTTCTTTACTAAAACTGCAAATTAAAATGTTTACTTCGTCAAATTTTAAATTTTTAGGGGTAATTTTTAAAGCAAATTTTACGAAAAACCGATGGAACCATATATAAGACCTCAAAATTTTGTAAAAACGGAGTTATGAGTTTTTAAAGTTTCCAAATTTCGTCCGACCTCACCCATCGACTGGATCCATTGTGCGACGTTGACGGGGGGCACAAGCCATGGGCAAAAGAAATATCGTGCTTTGAATAACTCATTTTTTGACGTTATCCACCGCGATAGTGACATCCCTGGTTTCTTCCACCTTATTTTATCCGTGTATTAAGTCGAGCAACCAATGGATTCGTGTGT